AGTAGTGCTACGCTTGTGTTAATGGAAGTGTTTTAAGTATGTCTTAAATAATTCATGTTGATTCTATTATCTGTGTTTCCTCGTTGGGTACTCTAGCATTTACAACATTTGTATTTCATTAAACATAAAATAACAACATAATTTAATGAGAAAACTTGCAATTCAAATAATTAAAGATGAATTTATTTAAAAATAGAGTAAAGTAATCTTAAGTTCTGTTTTAGTTAAATTTACGCTAATTGTTGAATTTTCTGTTCACAAACAACATTCTTATGTTTTCTTTAATGATATTAGTACAAACAATTACGGAAAAAACTGAATTGAACCAAACCAATAAAATCAACTTAAAATACATAAACACGACCTTTGTTTTAAAGGTAATAAAACTACTTAAATTATCTAAAATTTCTACAATTACATTGATTGTTTTAATTTTTCAAAAAAAAATATCTTTAATTATCCAAAATTATTTGTAATTACATGAAATACCCAAATATGATCAACTCTTTACATGTTTGATAATGATTTTTAATATCTGAAATCATATATATTATATTCATATTATCCGATTCATTTTTCAAAAAAATAATTTCAATGTACTTTTGATCTCCTAAATATTACTGTTTAACTCAAATATCCGCTCTTATCCAATCTATTATCCAAAATAAAAATATTTATATATAATTTGGTGTTGGAAAAAGTTTTGAATCTAGCTGAATTCAACTGAATCTTGTAATATACTTTTTGCTGAATTGTTGAATCTAGCGGAATGTTTTTACATAACAAATGGTAACTGAAAGTTTGGTTGACAAAAAAAAACAAATGGTAACTGCGGGATTGCTAAATCTAGCTGAATATGGCGAAATTATATTTTTATGTCACCATTTACAACCTAAGTTTTGTAGATTTATTTAATCAATAATTTATTTCAAAAATTCAGTCAGATTCAGCTAGATTCAGCAGTTATCATTTACATTTCAAGTTATTCAGCTAGATTCTGCAAAAATACCAAAAATTCAGCTGGATTCCGCAATTCAGCCACATTCAGGTGTTACCATTTTGGCCCAATATCTGTAGATGATTGGATCCAAACCATGACCTAGATTCACCTAGATTCAGAGAGAACCTTAACAACAACAAGAAACAAACATATGCACAACTACAGGTGGGCCCGAAATGCTCAAATTCGCTTTCGAATTGTATTATAAAATAATCTAAATAGAATATAAATTTATTAACGAGATTATCCGATTCCGAACCAAGACGAATAACTGAACTAATCGAAATTTATTAAAAAGCTAATATTTTGAATTAAATTCATATAAAATTGTATTTAAATATATTAAATATTTACAATATTAATTATAATTTTTTATTTTGATTTCTAATGGGATCTATTTTCTACAAACTAA